CATGGATTTTTTGTGTCACAATTCCTTTAGTTGTCATTCTTAGAGCTACCACTTCTGTTTGAGGGTCTCATACCATGAAGCCCATCTCTACCAATCTTCTCCTCCAAGTCATCAAGTCAGACAATGGATGTCTCATATTGTTATCACCGCATTTGGACCACTAATCCAAATACTACACTGCGTAAGTAAGAAGAGAAAATTGAAAAAAAGCTTAATTCTTTATTATTTTGTTATGTATTGAACAATTACAAAAAGAGCCTTTATATAAGGCAATGCGGTAGAAGTAGAATCATATACCTTAAAATATTATCTTTTGGTACCTTAAAATATTATATTTTGGTTCGATCATATCTTGAAATATATCTATTACATTAATGAGAAAATCCTAATTATAGCTAGTGTTTTTAGCCCGTCACTTTGGTTTTTTATATTGCATGCTGAATTCCAATTGAAGTGAATAAATATAGAGTAATTGTTGATAAAAAATAAGTATCAAGAAATTGAAAATTATGACAATAATCTAAATAGTTTAGTAATAACTTTTTTCCGCTAGAAGTAAAAAATCTTGAATTTCAATCGTATACCATGTCGGTGGGATGATATAAAAAATAGAAAAAAGTTATTTCTCGTTATGCAATCAACATAAAAAAAATTGTAAATTATAATTACTACCTATATCTAGGCATTACACGAAAAAGAAAGAATTATATGCATTATATAAACACGCACAAACTCTAGTAATTACATTAAATAATATAACTGAAACAATCTATGTAGCAATATTAGCCTTACTGTTGCATTAAGATGTTGAAACAAATGTCAAAACTTTATCATTGAGGTTTTTAATTCTTTTTTTCTTTTTGGTTTTTCATTTTCAAATCATAATTTGGGAGCCTAAGTAATTGTTCTCTTGGTTCCATTAATCGAGGTTAACCATCGTCATTGTAATATGAATTTTAGGGATTTCAATCCAAAATAACATAATTTTAGTCCCTAATTTTAGAGGTTAATGTTGCATTACTATAAACGTGTGACTTGTGATTCAACTTCATAATCATTTTAGCTTAATGAAAGCTTGACATATCTTCCCATTCTTTTAAAAAATTTTGAATTATATAATAAAAAATAATTTTCTTTCATTTTTTAATTTATTTTACGTATATATTATACAACTTAAACTTATGATTTCTTTCATTAAAAAGATTTTACTACTAGTCTACTTATGTAATTTACTCTTCCTAATGCCTTACTCTTAAAGAAGTTGCTATACACTTTCTTCTAGCATCATCACACGTTTCTCTACAATACAAGCATAAATTTTTCATTCAACTACGCACAATTTATTTAAGCAAAAGTAAATATTCATCATAATTAAAAAATATCTTCTGTAGAAAAAAGAAAAATTGTCAAATACTCAAGCTTAAATGCTTAATTGCTAAATGTTTTGTGCAACTTTAATTGTTGATTTTTTCTGTTCCCACATGATTAGTGTGATACTTGACTATAATAATTTGAAACTAACTATTAGT